GAGGAGGGGACACCAGTCCTGGGGGTTGCTCCTGATGGGAAGAACAAACTCCAAGGCCCAGGGTGGTAACATCACTGCCACCATGCAGCTCTGAGCAGGTTCAACGCCTGCCTGGACCTCTGATGAAAAACACCACTTTAACATACTATTAAAGACATAGAAAGTGGAGGAAAGATCTTAAAATGCTTGGAGTGTGCAGCACTGTGGCTTTTGCTTTCACAGTGCCCTTGGTACCTTGTTACTCTCCTGTGAATTTGTGGAGGGCTGTCAGTTGGGTAGGGTAAAATCTCTGACATCCCTGTTAGATCTCCATAAAACAGCACTGGATTCCCACGCCAGGAAGGAGCGCTGATAGCAGAGACAGTGAGAAGCTCTGGTGAAGGAAGGAGCCATGGAGCTGCACAGGGGTGACTGCGTGAGCAGGAAAGGGCCCAGTGCCCCAGTCTCTGTGCAGAGCCTGCCCCTCCCCTCCCTGCCAGACTGCCTGCTCTGGCCACCCCCTAGCCCAGCAACAGGCACATCTGTCCAGCAATTTGGGGCTGACAGGTGCAAAGCAGGGCTAAGGAGGAGAGAAAACTGGCATGGGCAGGCAAGCCTCTTCCTGAAGAGAGAAGGTGAGGCATGTGAGTAAGAGGATGCAAAGCAGAGAAGGGAGGAAGAAGTGACAGGTGCCTGAACCAAGGACTGCTGTAGTGGTCAAGGAGGTGGAGGGGAGACGGTAGCCAGCCCCCATGGTAGCTCCCATCTTTCAACCCTCCTTTGACATATCTTCTCTTGTCTTTTCAAGGGCTTTGAGGCGTGAAATGATCAGAATGGTCCTTGCACACATTTTTGAAAGCTCGCAGGTGTCATCAGTAGGTTTCAGAATCTCCAGGCTATTTCTTCCTATCTTAAGCTGCTCGGGTAGACTCTGACCAATATCTAGAGTTGGACAGAGGCAGGATCAGACATCAGGAGATGAAGGCCAAGTTGTACAGGTGCACCATGTGGCCTCCAGTGCCAGTACTGACAGCCAGTGCTGAGCACCACGTGCTCAAGGTCCTGAGAAAAGCAGGCAGTGCTTGGTACAAGCTGGTAGCCCTCAGTACAAGCAAAACCACAGTGGACATGCCTCTTGGTGGTGCAGACCCCCTCCCCATTTGGCCATCACCAAATGCAACCAGGATCCTTCAATCCCGAGAGACTCCCCTCGGGACAGACGAGGGATAAGGACAAGTTGCTCATCCGGAATGACACCTGCTTTAAGAGCACTCTCTGATGCTCAGCACAGCTGTGCCCAACACATCATTTAACAGAGCTGTGGAGAGACTACAGTCTACACGGTGGTCAGCTGGCCAAAGCCTTACAGTGCAGCCTTACACGGCATCAGGATCATGTCACAGACATTGCACACGTGTTTTACAACCAGCTTCCAGCTGCCAGCTCTTGGAGCACATCTGGGAGAATGGCAGCAGGAAGAGCTCCCCTCTCCCAGGGGAGAGGATCACACCTGGAACTCCAGGGGAAGCAGCACCTGAGCAGCAACAAAACAATCCTGCCGTCCCCATGGCCCACCTCAGCCCCCACTGCAGCAGAGGGGCAGTGGCATTTATTTTGTATTTTGCAGCCCTCAGGAAAAAGAGGATTTCAGAGGGATTTGAGCACAGCTCCCTAAATAGCTCTTTAGAATTAAGAGGTTTCACAGAGGATTATTTCAAGCAGCTGCCCGTGGTGGGAGGGAAAGGCTGGCAGGTGCTGGTGAGATGAGGGGACAGACAAAAGGCAGAAGTTCTGTACATAAGCACAGGGGAGGAAAGTCCCCATTTGAACCACAGCAGAGGGGAGAGGGGAGCATCCCACCTCCTGGCTATGTATGCATCCTCTCTTCTGGGTGAGTCAAAAGGAATGAGGAGCAGAGGGGTGGTCAGCAGAAGTGACACACCATGGGAACAGCACAAAAGCAGTTCTTACAGAGGAGTCACTGGCACGGAGCAATCAGTATCCAAAGCCTGATGTCAAAAAGACAAGGTGCAGATATGGCTGCTTTGCTGGACCTGGCCATAGTGGCATTTCAGAGGTGTGGGATGAGCTCAAGGGGAGCCATCACCATCCCTGACCTCTCACTAGATGGGAAACCTGTGTGTGAGGAAGGTGGGAAGGCTCTGCTAGCGCTAAGGATGAGTTTGAAATGCTGGAGAAGGGGATCAGTCAACCAGACAGAGCTTGACTAAGGACAGATTCCTACCTGCAAAGTTACACATGCCAGACTTCACAGATCCAAGGATTCATGGTGGAAATAAAATTTTGCAAAAACAGGAAAGGCCACAAAATCTTTAAGAACAGGCACAGCTCTGTGGACTGGTAGAATGTGGGTCAAAATATCTTTCTAGTAATACTGAGAGATAGCATTGCTTGGCACCACTTTCTGGTGAAAAGAGGAAGAAAAGGTAGCTGGAACTTCATTACAATTTTGATATTGCTTCTTAGGGACTGGATGCTGCAAAAAGGTGAGTTCCTCCACAGGGTCCTGAACTCCAGTTTTCAATGGGCAGAAGGGTCGAGCATGCACACAGTGACCAGCTGAGCGACAGCACAAAGGAATGAGTAATAAGGCTGGAAGGAGAGCACATGAGAGAAACAGGAAAGAGAGGCTGGTGTTAATAGAAAGAGATAGAAATGAGGAAAGAACAGAAAGGAGAAGAGAAAGGAGGGAGAGCTGTGATTTTACAGTAGTGGAACTGGAAAAGCAGGAAGAAGCAAGGAGAGGTAGATTATTTCCACTGGATGGATGATAGTGGGGAAAAAGTGAGAAAAGAAAACAAAACAGAGAAGTGCAGGAGGGAGAGAAAAGAAGAAGGTCCCAGGCAGAAAACTAAACAAATGGTTAAATCTCAACAAATATTATTATGAGCAGTCCATGCATAGGGCAGCCTCTGCTGCTACACCTGGAATGATGTGCCACAGGCAAGACCACAAGTCAGAGAGATGCTGGGGCTAAAATCCTAGCAAACAGGAACTGGGGGGTTAGAGATTTTCTCAACAACCAGGAAAAAGAGTTTGTTTTCTTGAGCCTTCCTTCTCCGCTCCCTCAGAGGAACAACCTTTGAACAGCTCTGAACAACCTTTGAACAGCAATTAAGCTCTTCGGCCAAGCGTTTAAAAAATTACCCCTGACACTGATTTTGTTCTGCCTCAGACCTGAGCTGACCCAATGAAGCTGGAAAAAAACAAGGTCTTCCACGATTTCAAGGCCTCTCTCAAGAACTGACTCCTCTGTCCATCACCTGCCTATGCAACCCTCAGTCTGCATTTGAGGGGAAGGAGGTTATGTGACCTGGATGTACAGGCAAAAGTAGGTGTCTAGTAAAGGTCATTACTGCAAAATCAGAGGTTTAACATTTATTTTCAACACAGATGTCTCTCTTCTTATAAAGAGTGGTTTCCTTTACTGCCCCGGTTCACAAAAATAGGTGAAATTGGAATAGAAATTTTCAGCTGTACTAGCGCAGACAAATAAGGGACAAGGAAAGATGACATGTCTGTGACGGGCTGAGATTAATTGTGATGAGCTATGATTGCAGCTCTCAGTGTTTGGCTTTCGGCTTTACGAGATCAAGCCTGCAAATTCGGTGTTTCCTCATGTCTGTTTAACAGCTGTGATTTTTTTGACGCAAACACCCGACTGATTACACATGGAACAGGGCGTGATCCCAGCTCGGGGTGTTGGAGACCACAAAACACACACTCAAGGCCTGGCAGCCACAGCCACTAAAAGCCACGTGTACAAACAAAAATGGGTTACACATCTGAAACAACATTAATTGAGATGCATTGGCAAGTTGGCAGGGGACCCACCCCCAAAGGTGACTGACTTCAGCTTTAACCAGAAAACTTTCCTCTTTCTGTTACTGATCCTCAGGCTGGAAGACTGGCAGGTTGGCCCCGTGCACTGGCAGGTCCCAGGGACAGGCAGCACAGGGCCAACCTGCAGCATTTTGCAGCTGCTGTCAGAGTGCAGGACAACTGGGCAAAGGCTCATCACTCAGCTGGCACCTAAGGTGGGACCTCGAGGGGACTGCACTGTGTCACTTATGAGACCAGACCCTTCGGTAGGAAGTGTGGGTGGGACGTAGCTGTTCTTGGATGCTCATTTATGAGTTTGTTGATTCTGAGCTGAACCTGGAAGTGCGAGCAGTGTCAGTGCTGTGTTATGGGTGGGGAGAGACTAATCTGCACTGTCACACTATGTGTGCACGTGTGGTGGGTGCTCTTCAAATGCTCTGAGTACACGTTATCCCTGCATGGGGTCATTGGGCAGCTGGCACAAATGGGAACATCACTGTCACATCTACACATGGTGCTATGATGAAACACCTCCTTTCACAAGGCTTTATAACCAAGAAATATGTTGCTGCTTTAGGACTGCTCTGAAATACTTCCCAGCCTTCTCTGTGGTGTTACCCTCCTCCAGCATCATCTACACCAGCTCACTGTCTCCTGTGGTGTGTGTTGGGAGTTGGGATATGCCAATGCCAGCAGCAGGCTGTACAGATACTTCCCATGGGACATCAGCACTGGTTCACAGGGGTGGGTTTAAGCATGGGGGCTACATCCTACCAATTGCCTCAGGAGCTCCTGGGATTTAGGTGTTGCCACTTCACAGAAAAGGTGTAAACTAAACCATCCATGGGCACTATGCTGCATCTTATTATTTCCCACCCAGGGATGCAGCCAGGGCGGGTGTTTGGCAGGAACTACCTTTTTCCAGCTGGTAGGAGATTGGCTGGGGGGAGTGCTGGAAAATCTCTCAATCACATGGTGGACCTCTTGCCTCTGCACAAAGCTGTTTGTAGCAGAGAGTGATCATGTAGGAGATTCGGACAGCCTCTAGCAAAGAGCCCTTCACTTACCCTTTTAATTGCATTTTAGGGACTAGCTACTACACAGATCTGCAGAGGGCAGAATGCTCCAGAAGAGAAAGGCTGCCTGCTCTGCAGGGCTTTGACTCACAGGGCCAGCCCCAATGGATGCAGGGAACACAGCTGGAGACTGTGCAGGGCTGAAACCTGGCACCTGTGAGCAGCACACATTGTCCTTAAGCCCTTCTCCAGTTTTGAGGTGGTGTCCTACAGCTACCAGCATGCTGGACTCCTCACTAGAATCCCTTGTTCTGCACTAGTATCCTTTGTTCTGCACATCCCCTCCAGTTGTTTGTTAGTGTTGGTTTATGCTCCATAAATCAACAGCCACCTGCGATTTGAACCCAGTGTCGGCAAGATCTGTGGGGTGAAAGCACAGCTGTGTGCTGGGGGATGCTCTGCAGAGTTTCACATGAAAAGGCAAGAAAAGCAAAGAAGTGGACAACAGTCAGTCTAAGCTCTCTAGAGACATCACCTCTGCTCGGGAGGAGGAAGGCGTGGGCACCGGCTGCTCCTCCCTGAGAGCCTGGACCAGGATGCTGCAGGATGAAGACGGTCACTGCACAACGCCCTGGTGACAGCTTGTTCAGCACCTTGGTAAGCCAGGCCAGGAGGGACACAAGCAGGTTCCTCCGCCAGGTCCCCTCTTCAACAAGTGAAAGCCATCATGGAGCCAGGGACATGAAGCTGTGCCAGAGGAGCTCGAGGGACAATGTGGAGCGAGCAGCTACGGGACAGGGCGAGGATGTTCAGGCTTTCCTCCTAGACGGTGGCATCTGAGATCCTCCCATTCAAGGACGTCTTTGGCTGGAGGCCGTTGTTCTGCACGTGCACCTCTGCTTTGGGCTGTGTCATCTGCTGCAAACGCTGCCCAGGAATAAAGGGAGAAAGTGTCAGCCAGGGGTTGGGGGCAGTGGCAGTGGGACAGCCGGGGCATGGCAGCAGCTGAGGGTTGGGACCCCTCACCCCAAGCCTCAGAGGTGACCCTAGTTACAGGGTGAGGGGATGGCGCATGCAGCAGAAGTGGCTCCCCCAGCACCACTCACTGAATCCGAAAACCTCTGCAAGTCACCTTTCCTTTGGTGCCACACACAGCACAGCAGCTCCTCCTTTTATCTGAAATACAGGAATCATCCTGATAACACAGGCAAACTGTTACCAGACAAGACCAGCTGCAAGGAGGAACAAGAGACAGCTGCACTGTCACAGGCTTTAGAGTAGACTCATTTTCCGCTACTGTTGATTACAAAGTCCAAATCTTCATTCCTGAAGCCCAGCCATAATGATGATGATTACAAAGCATTACTAAGTAACTACACCAGGCTAACAAGGTTATGATCTTTGCCTTTGATGTAGATGAGACCATCCACCTGAACAAACCTTTGCACAGCAGCAACTCCTGTCACCCCGAGCTGATCAAATGAAAAGTGGAGAGTCAAGTAATGTGAAGCAAAGAACCCGGGAAAATATGGAGGGGCAAGTGATTGCTGGAGGCGTGTGGACTGAACATCAGGAGTGATGAAGAACAATGAATCACTTTTGCCGATCAGGGAGAGACTGATGCTGTCCACTGCAGAAAAGAAGCAGGGGCAGATTGAGCATGACCTGAACAGACATCACTAAGACAGGTGTTTCTCTTTTCAGCAAGAGAAACAAGCTCCTACTGAAGTAGCTGTTGCTGGGTGTAGTCCCTGAAATGTTCACTGAGTTGCTTCTACCATTCATGGTCTTTTTTTTTTGCCCTCTCACATTCATGCTCAGTAGAATCAAAATGACTTGTAATCTTTCCTGTCTGTCAAAACCACTTTATTCAGGATTGGCATCTAATTTCCCTCCAGCTCCAGCTCTATTACAAATTAATCCAGGATCTGTGCATATAAGAGGCCAAAAATTCTCTCTGTCTCTCTGATACCAACACACGCACACACAGATTAGCCTACTTTCTTCATGGTGCCATCTGCTGCTCACTCCTGGGTCTATGAACGATTGAGAGGGGTCTGGGTCTCATCATGTGTGTGGGCAATGTTAGAGGAAGAGCCAGACAGGGAGGGCACACATCAGCCACTCACACTGCTTACTGGTACTGCTGGTTTGCACAAGATGCGGAGGAGATGGGTGGAAACGTGCTCATGAGCTGCTCTCCATGTCCTGGGGCAACAGGGGAGCCCCCAGCACTTTGGAAGTGCTGGTGTTGCCACTCTTTTTACGTATATAATTAGCACAAGCCCTTTGTCAGAAGGAGTTGAGCTACTCCTGGGAGACCACAGGCCAGCCTGGGCTCCCCCAGATGCTGGGATGTGCTTCCTCCACCTCTAGTAAAACAGGACTGAGACTAGGCAAAGGGTTGAACTCATGTCTGTACTTTCGGGCTTCCATTCTCCCCTTTTCCAGCTCATAATAATGAGGGAATAAGGAACCCTCTAAATGTCTGAGAAAGGAGCTACTGCTGGAATTGCTGCTGGCCTTCAACCCAAAATCACCAAAGTGACTTGACAACACCCCGGCTTGAGTCCTGCAGGAATGCCAAGGTGGATCTCAACACCAATGACAAGTACCTAAACCCAACTTCAGATGAGAGACCAGAACTGAAAGCAGATCTGAGACCCCAGACTCACTCAGTTCCCACATCAGAGCACATCAAAATGGAAGGCTGGCAGGAAGAAAACTCAAATCCACCTGCAACTTGACCTCAGAGGTAGAGAGCCTGAAGTTGACCTAAGCCCAATAATTCAAGCCAAAACATTTCTGAGTTAAACATTGTTCAAAATACAGCATCCATGACGTAAGCTCATGGGATTCAGATGGCGTCTGGTTGCTATTGCAGCTGGGCTGGGAAAGCCATAAATGAGCACCCCTGGGGTGACTTCTTACATCTGTAGTTTGCAGCAGACAGCACCAAGCCAGGGACTTTTTGCACAGTGCTCTGAAGACTGAATGTCAACACCGTAAATAAAATCTTAACAGTAAGTACTAGGTATGACATACAGACTCATGATTCACTGCTACATAAAACTCTGCTCAAATTACTAAAGAAAACGTTTTAAACAAGACTAGTGGGTATTGTGGGTCCTGCATAAAAGTCTTCCTTGCTTCTTAACCCCTCAGTCACTGAGTGCACTTTACAAAGCACGTGGCAAACTACCACTGTGCTTGTCTCTGTTGGTAGCAGGTCCCAGCCCGAGACACTTCAAGATCCACGCTTGGAGGATGCTGATCTCTCTGTTGAGAATTGCCAAGTAACCATGCTCATAGCCAGGGACTGTCAGGAACCTGGATTTCTCTGGGTTATGAAACCTCAAAGATTTCTTCCCAGTCTCTTCCAAGGCTCCAGTCTCCTGCACCAAAGGGATATTCCAGGGGCGAAGGCTCCCTTTTTGAGATGGTGACAACACAAATTTCAGTGAGGAACAACGGACCGAAGTGTAGACTACCTGAAGGTCTGCCTACATGGCCAGTCACAGCCAGACACGCCTACCCTGAGCAGAGAGGAGTGGTAAAGCTGTTCATACCTGCCGGAGAGTCCCCTTTGAGGTGAAGAAAGAGTACAGCATGTATCCTGGAATCAGTACCATGGAGGACAGAGCCATAAGCCAGCCAAGGCCTTGTCCCCATGCAGGATAGACATATTTTCCCAGTGTCAGAGGGGTCATTTCCACCACACTGAAGAAGAACACACCCTGGGAAAAGAGCACCAGCCAATGCAGGTGAAGGCATGCAAAATCAGAGTCCATAAATTCTTTCCTTCATTATCCTCTTAGCTCCCAACAGTCTTAGAGCAACTGAACAACTCTTTAGACTACTCTAGGGTCTTTCAGCCCATCAACTGGTAATCTGAAATAAATTCTCCTTATCCCATGTAAAAAGCTGGAACTGGAATACCCCTGATTTTCTTCTTCACTAGGCTACTTAGACAAGCAGTGCCCCCACACCGGTTCCTAAGCAAGTCAATAGCATCCTCACAGCTGGCCTCAGGAGTCTTCATCTTCCTGTCACTGGCCTTTTCCTGCCATTCCCTGCACTACTTCTGCTGGAAGGGCAAGAATCAGCAAAGGCCAAATTGCTCTACAGTCAATTATCCTGCATTTGCTGATAGCTTTTGCTCTGACAAGCCTGTCAGGGGCTGAAGCTGGAGCTAAGAGCCTTCACCAGAACCAATAATAGCTTTCTGAAACAGTACATTATTTTGCTTATCTTCTGGCATCTCAGAAAGAAGAATGAAGAACTGAATGCCTCATTTAGATTAAAACAATCACCTAGAACTTTTCTTATGGGTGATTTCTAGCAGGCAGAGTGAAAGAGGCTCCTGTATCACTTTGCCCATCTCAAGTCTGCCTGGTACCACCTTGCACCAGCCCTATACTGGCTGGAGAATATAGTGTTTCCCCTACAGTCCATCCAAACTGAGGGGCCCTTCTTGACCCACACCTGCAGATAGGATGCCCCAGGTCTTACCAGGCAGACAAGAGGTGTGAAGAAGGCCCAGCAGATCTTCCACCAGATGCAAGGCTTGTAGCCAATCATTTCTTCGATGTTCCTGTAAAACCTGTTCACACCTACAAGAAGAAATGAGCATTGAAAAAAACATCCCATCTCAGCACCATGGTTAACACATCTTCTCATGACACAGCACAGGCCAGTCACAGCAAGAGGCATGAGAGACGCATTTTCTGGAGGGGATGGGGTACTGGGACACAAAAGCAAATTCCTGCTAACAGCTTCCATGTTCCTGGTGTCCCCTTGAAGGCCCAGAGTGAAGTACCCTAGGCATCTGTCAGTTTGTGCAGAGGTCTTTGTGATGGGCTGGAGAAGTGAGATGACAGCCTTCCACTCCTGATTTTCTGGGGTTATCAGTCTAAGCTATTTTCAGTTGCAAAATTGTCATTGGCTTCACTGTGGGAGGCTTTTGAAATAACTCACCGTGCCAGCGGAGGAAACAAAGGAACGAGGTGTTCTGTGCTTACCATAACACCAAGAAATTGAGATGGTCTCAAAGAAGACAAGAAAGAGAAGACACATGCCACTGGCTGAGTAGTAATCAAACAGCTTGAAGACATAAATGCCACCCTGAAGAGACAAAAACAGGGTTAAGGAGTTATAGATTTTGGTCGACAATATCAGCCAGCAGCTTTGATTGCTACTGTCTGTGTCTGTTGGCTTTAATGTTAATTTCCTTGGACAGTAGAGCCAGTGTTGCAATGTTTCTACTGGAGTCTGGTTCCCAGCAGCAAAACTGATGTGCTCTTGCAGACAATTAGCCAGTCTGTTCAGGCATAGCCAAGGGTGAGAAGAAAACCAGTAATTCACTAGGATCTCATATTTCTCTGCTTTAGATGGAGTCGCTGAATTTAGTCTGCTCTGCCCTTCCCAGGAGTTTTGCCTTGCCTCCTCATGAACCTTCAGTGGTCCACAAATGGTCTCCAGATCACTCAGCCCTCACCGTCCCTCATGTGAACCTTGGCTTCAGCCCCAGAGGTTCAGGGCCCCAGCAGACTGGTTTTCTTAATGTTATCTTAACCCTTTGCAGCAAGCACTCCCCAGCTTGGGCTCTGTTGGCTTGAGCCCTTATTACAAATAGCAAAATACCAAGACAGACTGACAACAGGATAATGGTAAAAAATTATGGAGGCATCCTAAGTAACTTGAGATGTAGCAGTGATGAGCGAACCCTTTTATTCAGCATTAGGAGAAATGCTGTCACTTCTTCCAAAGTTTTTGGTGTTTCTGTGCTATGCCAAAGTGACTAGAAAGGTGTTATGAATGGAGGCACAAACACGGCTGTCTGTACCTGGGTGATGTTGGAGAATCCAATGAGATAAGAGATGAAACAGACCACTGCGATGAAGATCTTCTTCCTGGCTCTTAGGAGATGAGGATACTCATCCACCAGGGCTGTAATGAACCCTTCCACCGTGCAGAACTAGAAAAGGTATACACCAAGGACATATACATAAGTAGCCTGACATCGCTCCCACCCACATTTAACTTCATTGCTGAGAACCTCATTGATTTAAGAACTCTCTGCAGACTTTCACTGAATAGAGACGGAGCTAAAAGCACTGAAGTTAAATACTTAAAAATAGCTGAGATAAATCCCTGTCTTTTGCTCCTGTGAAAAGCCTCTCCTTTCTTCCCACAAACTCTCTGGGGCCTCCCCTCCACTGCCCTGCTCCCCCACGCTGCCAGGCTCTGTGTCACAGCTGTGTGTCTGGGACACATCCTGGACCTCGCTTGCTCTTCCCTTCCCATGTGTGCTCTTCCCAGCCTACAGGAACACACAAGAGAACACTTGTGCTGTTCAGTGATCTAAAACACTTAATAAGGAGCTGCATTACCCACTGCCCAGTCTCACGTGCATGTGAATAACTATGACATCTCTGACTACCCAGTCCTTTTTCAAGCACACTACGTTAAATGCATGGGGCACATCAAAAGCCCATCCTCACAGCATATCGTCTTTCTAGAGATGGAAATACCTGGATGGCTTGTGAAGCACTACACAAGGCACAGTATATGTTGTGTGCACCACAACACATTCCCTGTGAGTGTTACCTTCAAATCAATGTTCCTGCCAGTCCTGCCTTCTGGCATGAGGACAGTTTGACCATATATATGTGAAGTGCATCCTTTCCTCCTATTTCCTGATAAACTGTGAGATTCACTTTTATATCTCGCTCCCAGAAACAGGTAACATACAGCTCTCAGACAGCACATTATGCCTCTAGCAGAAATCCTGGGAATTAACAAGAGCAGCAAATTCCTGGCTTCTCTGGTCACCCTGAGCAAATGTAAAAGCCCATGCAATGAAAGTGAAAGACATTTCATCGCTCTTGGGAGTCAGGGACCTCCCTGTCCCTGGGAAGAGAAGAACCCCTAGAGTGGAGGTGGAGGTATATAGACTAAAAAGAGCAGCAGAGGGCTAGAAAGATGTACGGAAGAAAAGCAGGGAGCCTGAGCTGTGCCTATAGCTGGGCAGGGATGTTAGAAGAGCTTTCACACTGCTGGCTGCTGGGGCTGGCTTCCACGTGGGCCAGAGCAAGGCAAAGGGCAATGTGTCTGCCCAGGGTTTTATATCCTCACAGAAAACCAGTATTCCCAAAGCGTCAAAGCTCAACGGCTTCAGCTTGAATGTTTAATGAGCTAAGCCTTTTATGTTGGACACAAGTGCCATTAAAGCATCTTTTGCCATTCACGCATGGGTTAAGCTGCCTTTATACTCACAGACAGCAAGCTCTTCACCCCATCCCACCTAGCTTGTTGTCTGGAAGAGTCAGGACTGAGCTGGCACCACAGTGTGAAGAGATAGCATGACAAAAAAACCACTGTTGAAAGCGATTCTTTCCATGTGGATGCATGGCCAGGCACTGCCAGAGCCATGGGCAGGGACAGGAGACCCGAGATCAGAGAGGGAAATGGATTTGGAGGGGGGGCCAGAGGTGGTCAGGGGCAGAGGGTGGTGTCCACCAGAGAAGGAGTGAAGAAAATGATGTCTCAGATAACGGGATGGAGTAAAACTGACAGCCCTTTGGTGCAGGAAGAAGGATCATGTCAGGGAAAGCATAGAGGGAAATACAGAGAGGTGGGTGATGAGAAACAGGGTTACAAAGTGAGTTGAAATCTCTTTGTCTCCTATCAAAATCAAGTGGCTGTGTAATGGACAAGGTGGTGAAACAAATGGTAGTATACTGCTTTTTCTAGTCATAAAACAGGCAATGATCTTCATATCATTTACTGAAAACTGCCTCACGCCAGCCTCAGGTTTCAGAAGGGATGCAGCCTAGAGGAGGCTCACCTTTCCAGCCCTGTGGACTGTGGCTCCCTATCTGGCCTGAGATCCACTTTTCCAGGCCTACATACCAAACCTTAGCTCCTCACACGAGATAAGTAGGCATTTCTTCTGAGTGAAAGTATGCTGCTTTCAGGATTGGTGAGGATCTGGGCATTGGGGTGCCTTCTGTCCTTGCCACTACAGTATGCTTTCCAAAAAACTCTGCTTTTCCCACCAACTTCCTCCAGACACAATTTTTAGCATATATTCTGTTCTTCCTCATGCCTCACCTCATGATATTGTCTCTTTCCTAAGCATTGTATTGCCATTAACTTAGCTCTTTTGCTTTTTTTCCCCTTCAAGGCTTAATCATCACACAAGGATAATGGGTTTGATAACCTGGATTTGGGAGTCAATATAGGTGGCACCTCAGTCTGTAGGAGAGTCCCTCTCCCACCCTCTCCTAGTGTCAAGGGCTTGCTATTCCCTCCTTGACCATGCAGAGCACCCTGACTGGGACCCATGGATGTGTGGGGAGTTTGACCACAGATGTGCATCCAGAGATCCACGAGCGGTCTCACTGCCGGCAGCTGGAAATCCTCATGAATAACCCGTGAGAGGAGGCCTCACATGGGACAGACACAGGCTTGCAGTCACAAGGCCCGCAAGCTCCCCTGAGGAATGAATGCCTGACCTGGAAACTGGTAGGTTAAAAGAAAGCATTAGCATATTACGAAAGAGGGTCTAGACGCAAGAGGAGTAAAGCCCGGATGGATGAGAGCAGAGTGAACATTAAGGCACATGAGCGGCAAGTGGGGGCACAGGAGGGAGGTGCATGTCCATCCGTGTAGGTCACTCATCCCATTCAAGGACCTGCAAATGAGATGAGCACCCTGACAGAAAGAGGCAGGTGTGACTCGCCGGACCTACTCCCATTGTCACTAAAGGGCTGGAGCTTGTTGCTGCATCGCAAACACAGATCTCAGCCCGACCTCCCTTCACTAGCTGGGCTTTCAAGCGTCTCTGCCGTGCCTACAGAGCCGTGCCCTGCCGGTGACAAGGGGCAGCCTCAGCCCAGCAGCCCTGGGAGTACAGGGTGCAAGAAATGCCCTATGGCCCCGCTGCGCCTCACGGACTGGGCTGCTGACCCAAATGAAAAATGCCTGCTCCCCATCTGCAAATACCACAAAGGATATGAAATCAGCACATAGCAAAACCATCTTTTTTTTTTTTGCCCTTTTCTTGTTTTTTTAGATGAATGCTTCAAAATGCACGTGGAATTGCAGGCATTGTTGCAGCCTGTGTTACTTGTTTTATATGCACAAGCTGCCGTGCCTTTGCTGGTGTGTTTGAATGAATCAGAGCTCCAGCATGCAGGCAGAAAGCTATTTCACATGTATTTAGCTGTGCTTTTTAAGAGCTTGTTTTCCTTTTGATGCTTCGTTTCTGCCCAGCCTTCTCCTTCAGGCAATGATAGCCCCCCACAGACTGCCCTCCAGGACTGGCTGTCAGAAGGGACATGGAGAATTTCAAGGGGTATTTCAGAAGTAAATGCAGCAAATAAATTCCACAGAATGCTTAGAGGGCTTATTGTCATGCCTTGAACTATTTACCGGCTCTGAGTGAATAATCCATGGACATAATTTTTTTTTTCTGTAAATGTAGCTTTTTTCAGAATATTTAGTTCTTATTTGCATTTCTTTTTTGCTAAATAATGTCTGTAGTAATGCAGACATGAGCTTTATAATGTGTTTATGAGAGTGTGACATCATTGAAAACCAGATTTGGTTGATTAGATTTTCCTGGAAGCCAGGTGTGACATTTCAGGAATAGGTCTGAGTCTGATTGTGAACTAGGCTTGGGTTTGTGAACGCTACCTGTAATCCAGGAGAGCATCCATTTTGTACTGGTGGTTTGTGCTGCAAGGGAAGAGCACGTGGGCATAAGGGAGGATGGGACAGGCCAGGTGCAGGCTTTTGCAGGAGCCTTTGATTTTAATGCACTGAATAGAGAGGCACACTGCAGTTCACTGCTTCACTGGGTAGCTACTTTTAAGCTGAATTATCAGAAAAAAGTATCAGCACTTGTAAAAACACAGAGATAATCGTGGTTTTTTGTTTGTTTTGTGAGGGCTCTGAGGGGGCAGGGTAGAGACCTTTAGCTACATCCAGCTGCTTCCCCCACAAGTAAGACTACCTGATGGCAAAGCTACCCTGGTACCCGGGCACCAGCCTTTCCCAAGGCATGATTCCTTCTTTCTGCCAGAATCTATTCCTGCTCACCTACAAACCAGGGAGCTGCAGCTCTGCTCAGGATCACTTTTGTCATCAACACCAATGCCAAAACAGTGCACCAAACCACTGTCCTCACACTCGGAGGGAGCCCCAATTGAAACCCCACATCGCTGCTTTTCTCAGCAGAACCTGCTGATGCTCCACCAGAGCACTGGGTCTGGCTGGACACCAGTACCTTGTGCAAAGGTGCTGGCTCTGGCTCCTGGGAGTAGGGAACATGGAGACCTTCTACCCTAAGCTTTGAAGAAAAGCCGAAGTAATGACATTCTCTCGCCTCACAGGAAATGCAGTTTGGTCAAGGTGACAGAAAATTCCAAGCATCCAAGCTTCTCACAGAACACTAAGAGAGCTGAGATGACCACAAACTACCGTCATGCAGGCATGGAATGAAATAGTTCATACTGATTTCCCTTATTTCATGTACCTACATTGGGAGTGGGGGGAGTCATGTCCTACAAGAACAAAGCAGTTATTACTTGAAAGAAATCTTTTTTCCCTTTTCCTGTGATGCAAAGTATTTTGGCAGGACTAGTTTCCCACTAGCTCTGCTTAGAGCCTGTGAGGCTCAGCTGCCAGGGTGACCCAGCAAGGTGGGGACGGGCTGTGTGCACTCAGCAGCACTGGTACTTGGCCACAGGGTCAAAAATTGGTGTGAACAGAGAAAAGCTTGCCAAAGATCCTCTCCTTCTACAGGGAAGTGGTGAATATCTTATAGGGCTGACTGGTTCTGCTGGGCTGCTGGAAACTGGTCATTGCTCTTATTTTTAATGGGCAGCAGGACAAGGACTGGTGCATTGGGAAGTTGTCAGATCCCATCACGCTTCCAAGGATATGCCTACATGAGGGAAGAGCACAAAGGTGATGTCCACATAGGAGGTTTTGTTTCATGAAGCTGCATTTCACCTCTAAGAGTTAAACCACCCTGCTCAGCACTGTCCAGAGGTGCAGGAGGGGACACCACCATCATATCTGAAGATATTTTTGTATCTTACCCCACCTCGTGCCTGGGTTGTCTCACCTGACTATCCAGACCCAACATCATCAGCATGGAGAAGAAGAGGACTGACCAGAGAGGTGACAGGGGCAGCTGTGTGACAACCTGTGGGTAGGCGAGGAAAGCCAGTCCGGGGCCTGTGGTAATGAAAAGAGGGGTGAGAGCAAGTTTATAAAGCATTTGATGGGAAGTCTGAGCTAAGGGCCAAGGTTGAACAGAGAGACAACAATCCCAGCCAAGACTTGTGGGTATTTGATATAGGAGCTAGGAACACCTGAGCTTTTGTCCGTGACACACCGACCCAGTGGAGTGCACAGGGGCAGGACGGGGAGGCAGGAATGACTGGAAAAACAAGTCCTGCAAGCAAGAAGGTCATCAAATTATTGCAACCAAATGGAGCTGGAGCATTTGCTACAAAAATGAGAGCTGCTTATAACTTTCCCAGTGCTATTTTTTTTCCCACCACAAAATGCTTTTTCTTGAGATAAAAGCTTTCTCTGGGAAGACAGCAATTTCAAAATATGTCTTTGCGCAAAAATACACAGTCCCATCTTGGTTAAAAAATTATTCTGAGATCAATTTCAAGATTGCACATGAAAAAGGGACTCCAAATTTTCATCATGCCTGCTGAAAACATAGGTAGTATCTATTCTCTACAGGAAGGTTTCAGACAGCAAATGGCCTAAATATTTCCTTACAGCAAAATCACAAGAAAGTTCAGCATAAAAGGAGAAGAACACTAAAAGCAGACAGAGATGCCCCTTGCAGCCAGAGTGTGACCAACATCAGCCACAGGTGCCTTAGACATATCTTGGTGGGAGGGTGCTCAAAGAGCACCTGGGTCCCAGTCTGGAAAGGCCTGGGAGCATCCCATGCTCACAGAAAAAATTGCTCTCACAGGTTGCTGTTGCATTTGAACTGGGTTTCTGCTTACCTGAGGAGGCCAGCTCTGAGACTGACTTCTTCGTGATGTGTGACATGAAGCCAATGATGGAGAAAATAACAAATCCAGCAAATACACTTGTAGTGGAGTTTATACAACAGACAATAATGGAGTCTCTGGAAGAGAGAAAGAAGGAAAAGAAACCACCTGCAGGTCCCTACCAAGAGGCCAAGAGCGGAGAGTGGGGTAAATAAAAGACCAAGCCCTGCTGAGAGCAGGTCCATGCCCTGGAGAGGTAGCACAGGTGAGATATGAAATGTCCTGCAGGCAGAAGAGCCCCTCTGTAGAGATCACAGTGTGTTCCCTGACCTGCATGTTGGCACTAAGGGGACAGTGGAGGTCAGACACCCCAGACTCACCACGACCCCCTACCTCACCCTGAGCACTCCTCACCATGCAGGAGGCTGGGAAAGAAAAAACCAACCTGTAGACATTGTTGTGGAAAGTGTTGTAGCTCCCCAGAGCAATCAGGGACCCCAGCCCCAGGCCATAAGAGAAGAAGATCTGTGTGGCTGCATCCATCCAGACCTGTGGAGAAAGAACCAGGAGAGGGAGGGACTCCATGCTGCAGGTGCACCTCCTGCAGCAGCTCAGTGCAGCTTTGTCTTAGCCTGTGAGGGTCGTGACTGTTTGAACGAGGAACTATTGCAGGATTTTTTTAAATACTTAAAATATACAAGGGAAGTGCCTTTGGAAGACTAATTAAGAGACAACTGGGAGATAGGAGCTTTCGTCACTAGGCCACAAACCTCGGAGTCGGAGAGCTTTCTAAAGTCAGGCGTGAGGTAGAAGAGGATCCCCTCCTTGGCTCCCGGCAGAGTGACTCCACGGAATAAGAGGATGAAAAGCATGAAGTAGGGATAGGTGGCCGAGAAATACACAACCTGAAAAAGACCCCATGGTAGAGAAACCCTCAGCCCACCAGTGCCCAGGAGCTTTCCTGCCCACGGTGTCATTGCATGTGGCATGTACCCCTGTGAGGGGGACAGGCTCCCCAAGCACAGCCACTTTCAGCAGAATTTCCTTGCATTTGCTGTCTCCCATTCCCATGCTAGTAATGTTTCTGTCTGTCTGAGGTTTCTCCCTACCAATGATATCCAAGGACACATTAATCGCAAAAGTAGCATGCTGAAGTCTGGATGAAATGCCCAAAGACAAGGGAATTGCATGAGGATAAATTTAGTCCACAGAAGTAATCCCTTTAAGTCATCACATCCTTATTTTGCAGAGCTAAAGCCTATGTTTCTCTAGACCTATGCATCAAGCAACAAGAGTTGTCTTGATTTCCACTGCTTTCTTCTCAGCACTATTTCAGGGACTCACAAGTACATGACATCCCTCATCACAGGGCCCATACCAGGAATCACCAGGGCTTTGCTGTGGCTGTGTGGCTAAAACCTGTTTGGAAGCTACTGGGGAAGTTAACTGCTTAGGTGACCTACCCCTGAAGGGCTTATTTCTGATCTCTCCTCTAGATTATTCCTTTCATAATATTGTCCTGCTGCACCACACTGTGCTCTAAATAACATATCCCAGTGTCTCAGCATCACGTTTTCACTAAACTAAGCAATTACCTTTCTGCTGTGCTAGCCTGAAATGCTACACAGTGAATAACAATGTGCTTCTCATCTGAAGGTCTCCCACCAATATTGAAAGGGCAGCAGGGAAATTTTCAAATGAGATGGTGAGGTTTTTTTTCCACCAAAACATTTTAAGAGACCGTGATTTTCAAAAGGGGGAGACGAGAAGAGGCTTTACTCTCTCAAAAGGCTGTCCCAAGGTGGGAAATATAAGTAATCTCTGAAAACATCTTCACAAGCCTCTTCCCCAAAGGACTGAGTGCTCAGACCCATGACTTTACAGGGAAGAGCTATTCTCTACACTTAGAATGAAAATTACCATAAACACGGCAGCAATTTTTACAACCGTGAAAGGTAAAATGTCAGGAATTTAATAGCATCTACTGTGATTCTGCCTCAAAACACCATAACCTTAGTTATAGGCACTTAAATAAAATTGAGTCTGGAGGACATTTCGACAGCCGAGACCTGAGTCGGTTGAGACCTGAGAGGCAGCAGTGAAACACCCGACCCTCACACCGTACCTTGCCTGTCCACTCCACACCCTTCCAGATGGAGAAGTAGACCAGCAGCCAGGCCAGGGCCAGTGTGCCGGCCAGGGGCCAGCGGACAGAGCCGGGCTCCCCCAGGCCCCCCGACATCTGGTGCATGTTCCTCCTAGGGACGGGAGACTTTGCGTTAGAGGGAAGTCCAACCCTTGGGGGCAGAGGGATTAGAGATCCGGGGGGAGGGGGGGGCTACAGGGTGAAGGGCCAGGTGCAGACAAGCATGAGAACCCACAAAACCCTAAAGAGACCTGAGGTTCATCGTGATGGGATAAAGGGAGGAGAAGAGGTGGAGAGGCTGTTATCCTCTCTGTTCATCAGACCTGAGGTTGCACAGTGCACCCCATGCCCACCACAGCCAATGGCTGGCTGTAACGCCCTCCTGCCAAAGTTATCCAAGGACAGTGCCAACGGGCACCAGCCACAATCCTGGTGGGCAGGTATGACTGTGGTGAGGGGGGAGAAACCTGGTGTAGGCAGGCTGTGGACGTACTCCCAGAACTCAGTGACGGCGCTGGTGAGGTTGGTGGTGTCATTCAGGGAGTAGTTGGAGAAGCAGCGGTCGGTGTTCCAGGCATTCCCGCAGTTCTGCCATGGCAGGTCCTGCACCGGAATAAGGACAGCAGGGTTATCATTAATGTTGTATCTCCCAAGTGCAGCGTTGAGAAGTGAAATTTGGCTTATTTTAAACTGAAACCCCATTATTTTTTTTGCGAAGAGGATGGGCAGCACCATCAGATGGGCACGCCCTTGTAGCCAAAAGCATGAAACTATTTTCTAAAATACGGTAATTTGTGACAAGGATTTTCCAGGAAACAATATCACAGCTTGATTAGGACAGTGCTGTAGCTCTAATAAAATGTTAGTAATTCCCCAGATAGAAAGCCATTTCCAATTAACTGTTGGTAATTAATAGCTACAAATTAAAATGGCTACCGAGGGATATTGTGTTTATAACCATTACAGCTTTCAGCTAGCTTCACTCAACAAGTGGTTGGAATTTAGTGCACAAAGAATAAACAGTTTCTTACCTCTCAGTTATACTAAGCTCCAATGCTTAAAAAGCAACATGGCCCTGAGAATGGGGGCTAACAGGCTGTCTACTAGACCAGTGGACTGATGTAACGCAAGCATAGGAGTAAATTTAAAGCATAATAGCTGTTTCATGCTGTCTCCTGCCCCAATTATAAGCAGCACAAAGAGAATCCTGGGCAGTGATTACGCTGTAGGTAGTAGCAGTGTGACGGCAGCACACCACTACAGATTTAATGCGATCAGCTCCGGCACTGTGAGCGCTGAAGCTGCAGTGCCAGGGGCCCTGTGAGCATGCAGGGCAGCTCACCCGTGCCACGTAGTGCTGAGGCCGAGGCAGCCCAAGAAAAGCAGCTCAGATATGTCTCAATGTGTAACAGTCTCTTTTCCCGAGCACAGCGCACGTAGAAACGAGGTGATTTCCCTCTGCAGACAAGACCTCGGGCTCCAGCTCGACAAAGTTCTAAGAAGATGTTTGTATCCATCACTATTCATCCACAAACACCGACCTCTTTAGAAATATTATCTGCATTTTAAGTGTTTTGTGGCATCAGTGCCTTTAAGTGCTGCCTTCACTGCTCCATCTGAATCAGTTCATTCCAGGAGACAACACCTTCTAACGTGCTGGCTTGGCAGAAGGGTGGTTGTTGTAGGGGAGTGGGGGACATTCAGTGGCCACCCAGGCTGCTCCACCCACATGGTGATTTCACTGAAAAATGCTAACTGCACTGAAGTAAAGGCAATGGCTCAAGAAGTGCCGCGCAGCAGCCCTTCAAACAAGTGCTTTGCGCATCAGAGGAGCTGCACAGCTCTTACAAGGAGGGGCAGGCTGGGGGGCAGTTTGTTGCTGCTCCATTTCCTCTGAATTTCAGAGGACAGAAACTGCAGAAGGCTCCTATTATATATGAAGCTTGGCTCCTATTATAGTTCAAAATACTCCTGGTCAAATTTAGGAGGGACAGGGGACCGACATCGGCCTAGGTTTTTTATTTGTACCTTGGCTCCTTTTGGGAATTTAGAGTTATCTCTGGTAAAAGAAAACATCTTGAGCCAAATACCTGGACCTGCCTGCGTACATATGAGCACTGTCAGCAGCTGGGTCTGTGACACCCGAATGTACCAAAGCCTCATCTTGCCCAGGGATGGGTAGACCTTTGTTCGTTTGGGAATCCTCTGAGGGTGCATCTATTAATCCACAACCTACAATTTTGTTCTAGATCCAGGACCCTACAGTGGTACGTGGTTTTGGGGGTAGAAGCACAGTGGGGAATGCCAAATGGAATAATTTAGCAAAAGTCTTGATAAATATTTGAAATTTTGCTGAAACAAAAAGTAGAACTGGATGTACAGCATCATAACAGCATTTCATGGTTGTATCTAAATTAATTTTAAGAAGATCCCATTTGAACCATGCGGTTGTTGTCTTTAAGGGTGCAGGTTGCTCAGAGAGTTAAGGAAACTCTCCCAGTTTCTGGGCTGAAATTAATCATTCATCTACCAAGAAGTTGATACCAAGAAGTGATTCTAACCTTGTATGGTAGAAGACCCTGTTATGGGAGAGGAACCCACTATAAACCATAACGTCGAAGCACATGCTAAGGGAACATCACAAGCAGATGTCTAAATGATTTCTCAATCATTTTCCCAGCAGAAAAAAAATCCCCCAGATTTCATTTATCAAGAAAAGAGTGAATAAGAACTAATCAAGGTCAGGACTAAGTCCTGGGAAAGACCCTGTTGTAACAAAACCAGTTATGGAAATGTGTAGCTCTTAGATTTGAGCAGCTCTAGAAATACAACAGAGACACAGGGTGAGTTTTAAAGAATGATGTGAGTGGGGAACAGTACTCAGAGAGGTGATGGGACTGTCCTCTCCAGAGGACCATCCTCTTAAGAGGCAACATCAGTACCCATCAACACTACAAAACTGCCCCCAGGGCTGATGAACCTCTTCAGGAAGGGTCCAGCAGGATGCTGACAAGGGCTCTTTGCACAGACTGCAAGCAGCTAGTGCCTGTTTTGTAGCATAAACCACTCAGCCCCCACAAAGCAGGAGTGAGGACCCAGAACACAGCCAGTGCTGTGCTGCAGATACGCCTGTGACTCACCGCAGTGAAAGAGTTGAAGAGATAGTAGAGAGCCCAGGCAATGATGACAATGTAATAGATGTTCAGCCAGAAGGAGAGAACCATAGCTGCCAGTCCCACTCCTGCAAAAGAAGGCAGAGAGCAGCATCAGTCCAGGTCTCCAATACCCAAGTGAGTTCACAGGCACCACAGCAAGTTTTTTGGCAGAACCAGAAAAAGTGAATCAGCTCATCAGCACAGGGTGTGCTACAGTTGCACTGCGAGGGGGTCAGCAAGGGAGGCTCATTCCCTCTCGTCTCTCACCCGCCCATTTGCACAGGGAGAACAGTGCTACCTTTCAGTCTGCTATGGGTTCTTTAGGGACAGAGCCCCATAAAAACAGGATCTGGTCACTTCTCTGGTAGAATTGCACTTTCCCACATTCAAGGCATTTCTAAATCACCACTGGTTTCTAGAATACAGTTAGTCCAGGCACGGCAACAGGTTCATGCCCCCTCTTTACAGCTTTCCCATGCAATTAAGGTAAGCCTACATAGGGAGGCTTGGAGCAACAAAGGGTCTTTTGCAACCAGAGCCATTCCATCACAGACCATACTGCTCTCACCACACAGTCTTGTGTGGTGGCAAGGCACTTTATGCCTTGTCACCACACAAGACTGCTCAAACAGAGCATAGTGATGTTAATAACTGCAGACATCAGAGCCAAGGACAGCTGGATAATGACAGAGGGGAAAAAACACTCCCCTCACCTGCCACCCCATCCCAGACCCAAAGGATTTGCTGATTTGCTCCTCAAACCTTTAATGGAATCTGTAGTTACGTGCCATTGGTTTCACAAACACACAGTACCTTTAAACATGGGTGCCAACCTCCAGACTCCCAGTCCACCAACAGAGGTATACTGGCCCAGAGCAGTCTCCAGAAGGAAGAGAGGAATCCCAGCGAACACCAGTGTCAGGAAATAGGGGATGAGGAAGGCCCCTGAAAGAAGGAGCAGTGTTATCAGACAGCTCTCTCTTTTACCATGAAGCAAATACCTCCAGCTGCGGTTTCTTGCTCCACAGCACCCACGTGAAGAGGAGAAGCCTTGCTGGGAGACGACAGTTTCCAGCTGGAGTTGGTGTGTTCCATGAGTCTCCCACTGAGATCACCACTGCTTCACCCTTATCTGTTCCTATCACAATGGGTATTTATGTACCCTGTGTACGTATACACTGACATCACTAGCTATGCAATGCCAGTCTCACTTTGTTGTTAGCTATTAGGCAATGCTAAACCCAATCTGACAACAAACCCAAAACTTGGACACTGACATTGGTGACTTGTTCTTGTTGATGCTTTCTGTCTTACCTGCAACAGCTTCCAGTTCTTCAGCTTGAGGGAAAAGTGCACAGGAATATCTAGCATTGGCCACTGCTCTCTTTTTTTATAGCTATTTCAGTCTTTTAAGAAAACTGTGACAAAGACTGTATTTTCTCTTATAACAGTGCTATATACCTAGCTATCCATGTTTTAGATTTTACCGTTAAAATTCCTGGTAAAAATATTACTCTTCTCTATGGCCCTGTGGAAATCTCTTCACTATAAACAAGCTATTGCAGCCATTCACTAGAGATATTACTGGCACTGAGTTATAAGAAGAGGGAATAGAATAGGAGAGCCTTGCTGTGTGATTTGAAGGCTGTACATGTTCAGGTCATCCTGACATTTAGGACTTGGGACAAAGCTCATTTTCCACCTTTCTCATGCATGTGCTGGAGCATGCCATCATCCCTGAGGAGGACAAACTCTGGCTGAGGACAGAGTGGGGACACTCAGTTTGCTCAGAAGCAGCTGGCCATGTTTGGGACAGCACTGGTTTCTGCATTAGCCGAAGGGCTGAGCTGTCAGTATGAGTCTTCTTCTCCAGATAATAGTGGGAAGGCAAACACGGAGCCAGAGAGCAAAGCCACTCCGGAGAGCTGCGGCCCAGCTTGCACCTGGCAGAGTCAGGCTCCAGCAGCTGCTCTCTGAGGGTAGGGACGCAGTGAGGCACAGCCAGGGATGCTGGCTCAGGGGACACCCAGCTGGGGACGCCTGCCTGCCAAGCAGGGAGCTGAGCCCAGCTGGGAGAGGCAGGTGCCAGCACCCGGCATGGGAATCTGTGGGAGGCAGCATGCAAGAGGAGCTGGCAGTGGGTGGTGGGGAGGAAACACTCTCTGGGCCAGCAGCTCGATGACCGTGAGCCTAAATCACAAGCTGGAGTGGAAGCACAGGCTCTCAGCTTCACCAGCAGCCTGGCAAGGAGGAGAGAGCAGCTTTGAGCAGCGCTGCACACTCAGCATCCTCCCTTGTGTTCTTGCTGGCCACCACGAGCTGCAAGGTCCACTCCCCTTAGGAGCCCTGCAGGAGGACATGGATGCTCTCACCCTGCCACTGTGGAGTTTGGAGGCTGAGTTTATCAGCAGTGGAAGTGCCTTCCTCGCTTCTGTGCAAGCAAGTAATGAAATTTGGCCACAGCCCTGACAATCCTGCATTTTTGATCCGCAGCAGGCCAGGAAGGTTTGTAGATGAAAGATTTTATGAGACTATTGAGAAAAAAAACAACAGATGAACTTTTGGACACAGGTCTTTTGTCCTGGCCTAACAAAAATCCTCGAGAATATTGGAAAATCTGCAATCCAGGGCACTGGTAACAACCCCAGGTGCTGTACAGAGTGGAAATCAGTTCTGAAATCTGTACTTACAGTCTGCAGGCCTCTGCCTAAATCCTTGGCGCAGAGAGAAAGCAATGGTCTTTAATCTCTGGCCCTGGATGAGTTGCCAAAAGATCTGGTTCAGATCCTGAGCCTGCTACAAATGGTCATGTGTGACCTTGTGAGAATCCCAGTTTGTCTCTGAAGTCCACGGAGTTAAAGGAGTGATGGTGCTGGTCCTGCCCTGCCTGCTCAGAGCACTGATTCTTGGAGGCACAGAAGGATCATATAGCACCTGGCACCCACTGAGCAGCCCCAAATCTGCCTGCAGTCTCCAGCTCCTAATGACATAAAGCAAGGAAAAACAATTAAGCCTTAAACAAGGAACACTGCCCACGAATCAAAAGTTGAGCATTACAGGCTGTTAAATGCCGTTAGTTCGAGCCTCGGTGTGCAAAAGAGGAATGCATGATGCTTATTTAAAGAGTTGCTTTTCTCTCAAGTTATTCAAGCTCAGGACCTCACAGACAATTTTTAGCTGCATTTAGAGTGAATTTAGAGTCCGGTAAAACCCTGTTGAGATCAGAAGGAATGCATGAGGTTAGAAATCGGTGCAGAGGCTGGAGCGTTAGTCACATCTGGGCACATCCAGCTGTGTGCAGAGCCAGCAGGGAGCCCAGCCATCAGTTTGGGCGAAGCCTGGCCCCCGCAGCGGACGGGCCGTGCGCTGGGCTGCCGTGCCCTGGGCTCCCTGCAGCGAGCAAACCAGCCGTGAGCCGATGCAACGTGACAGCGGTAAGTGAGACGACAATATTTCCATTCAGTTCAATTTGCCTGTGCGTAATGGAAGCAGCCCACACGACCGCGCTCTGAGCAGCGCACATGCAGGACGCTAAAATTAGAGTCCCACCCACAGTCTGCTCTGCTCCGGAGGCGCCTCCGTCGGGGCAGAGCCAAGGCGGTGCCCACCCGATTGCGAATCAGATGCCGTGAGACCCTGCCTCGCATCGGCTCCCGGTGACGCTTTCGTGCGTCAGCTCTCCCGCCCGTCTCCAGCATCGGCAGCCTCCACTTGCCGCTCATTATTGCCGGCTGTGGGAACAGTCGTGCCTGCGAACAGCCAGACCTGCTAGGGGTGAGAGGAATGAGGGATCCGGAGCGCCGCGGACGGCACGAAGCGGCAGGCGAGGCAGGGTGTTTGGGAGGGGGCAGGCACCGATCCCTGCCTTTCATCGGTCTGGCGTTCCTGCTCACAGCCGGCTGGTCCCTCTGCATGCCTGGAGCTGCCAGGGCAGAGATCACCCTGCGTGCCATTGCTCATGCTAATAATAGTGCTCCACACCTCCACAGCATCCTCTGTCCTAGGTTCTCAGCTGATTTTATAAATAGGGCTGATTTGAGCTTCACAACACCCTTCATCTAATTATAGGTATTGTCACCCCCACCTTTATGTGTGAGGAAACAGCCATGGGCATCACAGATCCAGTGTGAGATTTGAGATGACACAGCAGCCACAGGGCAGATACTGGCTGGCGCTGGGACTTAGCCACAGGGCTAATGCTGTGTGAGGAGGGCTGGCAGTCAGGTGCTGGAGTGTGGCTAGATAAAGGTGACAAATCCACACCGTGGCTCTGGCATTGGTGGCACAGGTTCCCCTAGGAAGGCCTGGCTGATTCCCATAAACCTCACTCAGCTCAGCTGCATATTTATGCCTCTGCACAAAACCCAAAGAAGATGTGGATATTCCATCCCTAGAAGTGTTCATGGCCAGGTTGGATGTGTCTTTGAGCAGTCTGGTCTAGGGAAAGGTGTCCCTGCCCTTGGCAGGTAGGTGGGAACTATATGATCTTTAAGGTCCCTTCCAATATATGATTCTATGATCTTTAGGATCCCTTCCAACTCGAACCATCCTATGATTCTATGCTTCTATGAAAACAACATACTCCATTAAAATCTTCTTGTCAAAATTGATAAATGTCTGATCTCCTGCTGGAACTCACTCCACGTGCTTCAGAGAAAGAGCCAAGATACCCTTAAATGCTGTGGAGTTACATGGACAGACTGCTTCAGGGAGCTAGACCCTTCTCCTCTTTTCCAGGGTTGGAGGAGAAGAGCATCCTACACTACCTGCGACATGGACAGCAGAAGTGGATTTGAGTCATAAGAATCAAAGACAAAAGGAAAATAAAAATGACGTGGAGAAGAAGCATGAGAAACCCTCAGAGCAGCATGAATGAATGTGGCACCAAGGACAGCGACTCTGGGCAGGGAAGAGCTGAGGGAAGCAAAGAGCCATGTGGGAAGAGCAGCAGGTGATACTAAAATTATATATACAGCCTTAAAGGGGAGGAAAAGGGGGTTGGACTTGTGTGGGAAGTCTGAGAAATGGTTCAAGGAGGTGAGCAGCTCTTCAAGGTGCGGGAGGAAGGTTATTTTGGTAACAGGCACAAACGACAGGACAGCTGGGCATGGAGTAAGGAGAAGAAAGAGCCTCTGTTCTACTAACACCAGCCCATACCACCCTCCCAAAAAGCATCTGCCTGGCAAGGCTGAAGAAATAGCACTATTTTAGAGGGGAGCTGAGGCACAGAATTTTATTTTCTGACTTGATCCAAGACGTGCAGAAAGTCTGTAGATGGGCAGGGAGCTGATGTGCCAGATCTCTTGATTTCTAGCCCAGCAGTGTTTCCCCATCTGCCTGCCTTTCTCTAGCCTTCCAGTGGTTTGGCAAAGCCTCAGTAGATGATGGTAAGGAAAGGATGTAGTGGTGCAATAATAAAGAGAATAAAAAGTAGCTGGTGTTAGCTGTCTGCAGAAGAGGGCACTGCTACCAGCTACATCCCACTGTAAGTGGGATCTGCATCCTTTGCCAGCTGCCTTCTTGTCTTATGGCCTCTGTTTTCCAGGCCTTAGGATGGAGACGATAACTGTGACCCTTCTCTCAGAACTCTAGTAAGTCAAAGCTCATTTCCTTCCACAGATGATGACACATCATCGTGTGTACATGTACATAAGTACCCTTGTTTGTTTATACGTCTACACAGCCTTGCTATGATCCATGCAAAGCTTCTAATCAGAACTCCTTAGACATGTGATCCAAACTCACATGAAAAACTGTTATCCCTTGAGAATACACTAGGTTGAGGAGAACCTCACCATTAGCAGGTTTCCCTGGGAGCATCCAGCTGGGTGCCTATGTGCATAGTCCTCCTTGTAAATAAATGAGGACAGTCTTTTCTGTAGCCCTGCAAATCTGGATTGCAAAAGCTTGACGGAACTCAAACTTCTTGTTTAATTTCTTTGTACGGCTTCTTCCCAGCTTGCACTTACTAGTTAAGGCCACAGATCTGAGAACTAGTTTCCTGACAAGTTAATAACTCACATCATGAGGGAGAGCTCTCAGCTGGAGGATCAACCCAGACACACCAAACCAAAGCCTGTTCAGGGACAAGGCTGCTCAGGGATGGATGCAGGCACAGTGTGTTTCTCTTACCTCCTCCATTCTTGCCACAGAGATAAGGGAAGCGCCAGACGTTGCCCAGACCGATAGCGTAGCCCACACAGGACAGCAAGAAGTCAAATTTCCCCTTCCAGGAACCTCTGTCTGGGAGCTCCTTCTTCTTCTTCTTGGTGCTCACAACCTCAGGGGTGACGGGCTCTGGCTCCTCCAGGGCTGCCTGCTTCACCTCGGAGGGAGAGTTCAGCTCCACAGAGGGGTTGTCCATCTTGCCCATGGTGACTCAGATGTGTGGCCACTCTTGCTGAGGGGCCGGAGGAGCAGTAAGGGCAGCTTCTGCCTTGGGCGAGCACAGATGAAATGGGAAGCACTGGGCAAAGCTCCTGATGAGAAAGGAGAGAAAAAATCCTGTGTCAATGTAGTGGACTTAGGGGAGGGTCTTGCTGGGTCTGAGGCGGACTCACTGGGTAGACTGGTGCACATCAGTGCAGCCTATCCATGCCTCCCTGCTTTCCCCAGAGAGAAGGAGGATAATTTTGCCTTGCTCGAAGCTGCCTTTCTGAGGAGTTGTGCCCACATAGACTGCTAACAACAGACTCAGACCTGGCTGTTACCAGTACATAACAAACCCTTCAACTCTCATCTTACCTCCTTCTCATCCCAATGCTCTGTAGGAAAAGCTCCTGGACCAGTACACATGCAGAGAAATCACAGCCTGTGGGTGATGCAGCACAGAGCAGTCCAGGCATGTCTGAATGACAGTGGAAAGGGGCATGGTGGAGGTGCCACATCTCCCAGGTCTGGGGCCCAAAACTGAGTGCATCAGCCACGGAGACATCTGAGAGATGGCGTGCCCTAAGGAGTACATAACCCTCACACCAAAACGATTCGGAAAGAGAGCAAGAGCAGGCTGTGTTATTTAGACCTGTGTCTAAAACAATATTGCACTCGTGTCTTGAAAACTAAGTGCAGTTCTCCCTTCCTGTTGCAGAAGCTATTGCAAAGTCAGAAAAAAGCATAAGGAGAGACAAAAGGATGCTTAAAAGTGTGGAGCACCTTCCACGTCACGAGAGGCTAAAAGAGAGAGGGTCCATTGTCCTGTGGAAGAGGTAACTGACAGGGGCCTATAAATGTATCAGTGTCATAGAATATGAGTATTCACCATTTCTGACATAAGAACCACAAGAGATTGAACCAAGACAGTGGGTGGTAGGTTCAAAGAGATCAAAAGGGGATATTTCACAAAATGTGAAGCTATTGAGCAAGACTCCCCACTGCAGAACATGATGGATGCTGAGAGTTTACATGACTTCAAAAAGGAAATTAAGGGGAAAAATAATGGAAGGAAAAATCCACCAAGATCTACCACTGCAGTTCAGGAAAACCCTGAGCTGTAAGTTATTGGAGGTTGAGGGACTCTTCCAAGAAAATAAGACTTCCTACTTTTCCTGTTTGTATCCTCTCCCCTCAGCATCTGCCCTCAGCCAGTACAAAAGACAGGGGACTGGCATGGTCCTCCGCCAGGGACCATGAGGGCGACTAGTACTACAGTCTCCCAGAGAAGTCTGTTGACAAAAACATTCCCAGATACACATATTGGAAAACAAAAACAACAACAAAAAACCCCACCAAAAGCAAAGCAAAGCAAAGCCAACTAAACACCCCCCCAAGCACCACTCCCCCACAAAAAAAAAAAAAAAAAAGAGAGAGACAGAAGAAGAAAGGAAAAAAAAAAAAGAAAAACCAAGATGATATAAAATAAAACACAGCAATGCTGTGAAGATATGTCCTGCTCTAGCAGTTAGAGTTGGCTTTGCTTGAGCTTCTTACTCTCAACAGTCTTGTCTCCTAAGTAAACAGTACCCATTTATCCCATGGGATGTTTGGAGGACTCATTAATTAGAATTTCTGAAGTGTCCTGGACAGAGATGGTCTCCCAAGTCCAGGCTCAATGTCAGTATTGACTTCTGCTTATTACAAGGGGCACCCCATGATTACAGTAGATGGATTTCCTTCCCCCACAGAATTCACAGCTGAGGTTAGGAAAACTGTATCAACTGTGAAGGGAATGGCTGAATCAGAGAAAAGACCCCTGTAATTCATTCTGGTAAGTCAGTGGAGAAGACAGAATTATCCTTGCTGTGGGATGAAGGCTGTAACCAAACCCTCTGAGCTATGGAGCCCACACGGAGCCTCACAACTCCTCTAGCCCAAGGATGGTTGCAGGTCAGTCCAGCAGTAAGTGGCAGCATGAAAATGCTTTCTGGGGAGAAGAGACCATTCCACAGAGCCCATGAGACAGATGCCAGAAGTATTGTAGGACACTCAGAGCAAAGGCTTTGGTGAACAGATCCCATTTCTGTCCTACACCTTGTGATAGCACTGTCACACCAGCTCCTTGCTCCTCAGTAAGGCAGGGAGCAAAAGGATTTTAAAGAACATGTAGGAGGAAAGTAAAATAAAGACAATTTATAAATCAAAACAGAAGAAATAGCACAAAAACCCCTGGGAAGAATTCAGAGCTGGGCTAAGTTAGGATAATTAGCTATGCCTGGAGACATAACAAATTAGAGTCAGCAGAAGCCATTTTGACTTTTTTTTTCCTGAGACAAAAAACAGTAGGTAAGCTGCTATCTTAAAAACGTATGTATATATCCTGTGCTCTTTCCCCTGTTCCTGTTGCCACAATTCTGGAGAGATACTGCAGCCAGATAATCACACCTCATATTTCATATTCTTGGGGTAGGATGATAGAGGAGCAGCAGACCATACTGGCAATTTCTTCTTACCTGAGAAGTGAGGTCCTTCATCTCCAGCTCAGAAAGAATAAGCTATATTTATAGAGGTTTCTCCACAGTCAAGAAATTGAAAAACAGTCAAGAGGACCCACTGAAGATTCATCCCACCTACTGTCCTGTCTCTTACAGTGATGGATGATTAGGGCAGAAGAGCTCATGCATGTCCCACAGCCTGGCTGTGCCATGTCCTTCCCCAGGCATATAGCCTTGACCAGGAAAAATACAGGCATCAGTTGCTCCAGGCTAAATGTTTGACTCCTATGTTTAGACACCAGCTCACACGCTAGACAAGTGGTCCTACTGCAACAAAATGCACCAGTCCCTCCACTTATCTATGTGCGTCTCCTCCAGCACAAGCAAAGGGCTCTGTCCTGTGCTGACAGCCTAGAGAGAGCAGAGTCAGTTCAGCAGCTGTCATGTCAGATTATTTGTTCTGAAAAGCACACAGCGCTTTGGGCACAGCAAAATGCCTGAAGGACTCAAAATGATAATCAATAAGAGCAGAGCTACAAGCTGGAGGTGGGCTCTGCTTCACAAGGACTTGAAAACAAGGTCAAAGAGTTCAAACATGACACTACAGCAGGTTTCTCATTCGGCTTCTTCCAAATACACCATATTCTGAAGCCAGGACTTTCAAAGCAATCAGTGAAAGCTAGCACCATAAATCCCTGGCAGCAAAGGAGTGAGTTGTGTTTCACTGGGTTGTGCAGAAGGCCTGGTCTTCTCCTCTTCAAGTCAATAAAAACAATTGCCAATGTCCTCTGCGGGTGCAGAGACAGGCTGAAACACATTTTGGAAAACAGTCCTTCCCCTTCTCTTTTTTGAGGGATTTTGCTTCAAATAAGAAAATAGCACTGAAAAAGTATTACCTCCACTTGAAACGCTGCCACCTGAAACTGCTAACAACAGTGACCTTTTTACTTTTCCCTGCTTCAGCATGAAATATTAACAGTCTCCTCAAATTTGACAGAAACCAAAAATTTCGAGGGCATAAAATTGCCTGAACTGAAAAAGCAAAATGACCTATGGAAACATGTGTAAGAAATACTTTCACACACATCCCCACCTCTTATTTTTCAGTGCCTTAACAGCCACACAAATCGCTTCTGACCCATGCAGGTAGAGCCACAATTAGTTTAATTACACAGTGCAGGCTGTTGTTCAGTCAATTAGACTTTTCCTTCCATCCACACCATTTTAATGACAGCCAAGTAGCCCCAAGGCTCTTGCATCTTGTTTAGAGCCGTGACCAGCCGATCAGGGCACAGGCAGACTCTCGGTCGATTTTCTGCTCGCTCCAGCAGCAACATATGCTTGAGCTTCCCGCATCCTTGAAAGCTGGAGGGTCTGGGGAGAAGCCCTCCATGGGAGCCTGAGGATGCTGGCAAGGTGCTGGCCCCACATGGAAGCCACTCAGGGCTGGAGCATTGCTGTCCTGTCCAGCTGGGTCAGGCAGACAGGACTTGTGTTTCACAGCCCTCTCCGTGTTCTGCCCAAGACGTAGCCGCTGCAGTCACTCAACCTTTCATCTCCCTTCCCCAGAAGACAGGCAATTGCTTGGTCACAGGAGAAGTCAGCACTCACAGAGGATGTGAGAAGAAAGTAAATCAGTTCTCCTGGGTGATGGAGCTGCTGGGTGGCCTCTACCTCCACTCCGTTTTACACCCTCTTGCATAAGATCTAGGTTGTTGATGCCCAGGTCTGACCTGCAGCTCCTGCCCAATGTCCCTCTTCCACCAGCAGTCTGGGGTCACCCACATTGTTCCTAATAATGTGGCAGGTGAGATTGGCACCACACCAGAACCCTATCCACATGAGCAGAGGGGGCAATTGGAGCATGAGCCACATTTCACAAACCATTAAATGAAGGGAACATCTGCATGAGGTCAGAATACATCTTGCAGCCCCCAGCCTTGATCCCAGGAGGGCTGTGGCAGTCCCTCAAAGCCATGAAAAAACAAGTGAAGAACTGCTGAGCTTCTGGTGCTGGCTGCATCCTGCCATGCAGCCTCTTTGCCAAGGAGCATCTTCCTTCTGTCACACATTCAGGAGGAATGGGGTCAGCTATTCCAATGCCCTCCCTGTCTCCAGATGCCCACTTGAATCTCCTCTGGCTTCTCATCCCTCAGGGGGAAGTGGGTTCAGATCCTGCTCCTGACCACAGACTGTGCTTCACTCAGCACTGCTGCTCTCACCTGGGTGCCTGGGGCTGCCTTACGTTCTCCCTAAGGAAAGCAGAGTTTTGTGCCTTTTTTGAATGATGCAAATGATGCAGCCTCTGAGCCATTTTAGTGCTCTCATTTAAAGCTCATCCTGGCCCCTCAGAAGCTTCCCTAGGAAGCAGAGAGATGGCAGGACTCTTCCTTGGCTCCTGCATACTGTCCTGACGCAGCCCAAGCCACCACAGCAGGAAGAGGATCAAGGCCAGGCCACATCCTGCTCCCTTAATGGCAGTCTCGGAGCAGACTGCAGGCTTCCAGATTGGGAGAGACAGACAAGTGGCTTAAAGGCATCCCTGTCTCCATCCTCCTCAGCAAAAGTACCACATTAAAAAGATTAAAGGCCTATTTCTGCTCATTTTAAAT